TAAATAATACAGTTTCAGATAGTGCTATATGTTATAAAGAATATAAACTTAGAATGAGATAAGAAAGTTATTTGAGTATATTCTCAATTTTCCCAAAGACGGTACGCTGCCAGCACCATTCTAGATGCATACGAAACACACTAATTTACTATAAACAATAAACGCCTTACAGCATTAGGGCTTAATACCCTAAAACTAACTATTTTAGAGCAGAGGTGAGGGAAGTTTTCAAGGAGAAGGTGTCATTTAAGCAGAGACCATAAATCTCTGGATAGGACTGGGGAGACAGGGAGTGAAAAAATGTGTGGATCACTGGATGGTAGGGCTTGATGAAATTTAAAGACTGTTAGTGTGTGGTCCACAGTCAACAAAATAGCTAAATTACAAGTATAAGAGATATTTTACATTATATTCCTGGACTAATGCAATAAAATGTTTGCCAGTAATAGGTGTACTCTTTTGATTTGCGAGAGATTCTACAACGTGACAGTTAGGGACACATTGAAAAAACTTTGATTAGCTATGTGAACAAGAATATACCAATGTAATATGAGCACAGAGGTTGATGTAAGAATACTATTTTATAATTGAGAGAAATTTAATTACAAACAAAGATTTGGCACACATTATTTATACTAACATGGTATATATTTTCTTCAGCTTATAAGTTTAACAAGAATTTTGCCCTGATAACCAGAAGGAACATGGGGAAAAAAAAAAAAGGCTATATTCTTAAAAATTTAACTAAAAAACAACTTACATTTTAAATTCCAGTTTTCACTACACGTCACTGAACACAGGCTCAAGAGTGACCATGTTTAAAGCTGGGTTTTGTTTTTCTTCCACATATCTGATAAGCTTTTGATATACATAATTTTTTTTTAGAAGATGTGCGGTTGTTATATTGTTATTATGTCTTCCAGATAATGTAGAATATCAGGTCCGTTAAAACAGGCACTTTTTCTTGCTCACTGCTGTAATTCAATACCCAAAAGAGTACATGGGTATATACGTTACCATTGAGTTGATTATGACTCATAGTAACCCTAGAGGACAGAGAACTGCCCCATAGGGTTTCCAAGGCTATAAACTTTGCAGAAGCAGACTGCCACATCTTTGTCCCACAGAGTGGCCGGAGGGTTTGAATTGCTCACCTTCTGGTTAGTAGCCATGCACTTAACCACCATGCTAACAAGACTCCTTCCTTGGATATATAGCAGGTAATGAAAGAAAATTTCTTAATACTTATAGAACACTGGAACAGAACCAGTGAAGAAACAAAAAGGTAATTGAAAGTGCTGGAAGAAGAACCACGAAGAAAGACTCATTTAACTGGGATTGTTTAACCTAACGGTAAAACGGTAAAGCATTTCATACCTACAAGAACCTACATAGGTTATTACTCTCAGAACACTGATCTATAGATGTTTTCATGTAACATACAGAAGTATAAGAATTGTTAATATCTGAATTTCATACCTATGGGAGTTAAAAGAACTTCCTGGAAGATCATTAAACTCTGAAGAGATACTTACCTATGTAGTATGCCTGGGACAATCTTGTGTCCCTTAGAGAGAATTACTAGACAAATCCTGAGGGCCTCTACCTAACCTCTGAATCAGTATAACAGATTACTACAGATATCAGATATAGCTGATAATGTGTGGTTCGTAAGCATGATTCTTAAAGTTGTAGAACATATCTCTATTTATTCAAAATCATGACTAAAAGGTAGTCATAAAAAATTCTCAATGCCTGGTGTACAGATACAGTAATTATATAATAAATCACATATCATGTGAACAATAATAGGAGTGCAATTGTTCACATTTTAGATGTGAAATCATCCAGCAAACTGCCTGACTTCTTTTTTTGAATTAGTCATCAAAGCAGTTAAGGGCTCCTTTCTTCATGAGTTGGAATGGACTTGACGGCAACTGGTTTTTTTTTTTTTCTTTTCTTTTCTCATGAGCAAAAAATTATATTCCATGCTTTTACCTATATAGTTTTCTAAAGTTATGTATTATTGACCAAGATAAACATTCAAAAATCAGTTGGATTCCTCTACACCAGTAAGGAGAACGATGAAAAGGAAATCAGGAAAACAATACCATTTTTAATAGCCACTAAAAAGAGAAAATACTTAGGAATAAATCTGACCAGGGATGTAAAAGACCTATACAAAGAAAACTA